ACGTGTTTCTAAGGGCACTGAGTTTTCCATGCCTTTCACACATACCCATCACCCTCGGATTCATACATAATTTTACTCTAAGCTGACAAGGTTACATGCGCTCTCTATTAAGCAACATATGTTACTCTGTTCTCCAGAAAGGGCAGTTTTAATGCTCTGCCAGTAGGAATGTGCTGTGCAATGATGCATACACCAGCTGGTATTATTTCCCATCTAAAGTTATTTAAAGTCAACTCTGCACAGAAGGCAGATGTTGAAAATAGACTCCCACTAACCTGAGGTCAATGGTAAAGCCCTCGTACTCTGACAGAATAGATGCTTCTTTTCTAATTGAGATAATGAACGTGGCTTTTTGTTGTTGTTGGCAGTGTAAAATTAAGGTATAATCTTTATTTGCTTCTTAGCTGGTTGGAGTTTACAAGTGATCTAATACTTCTTTTTCATCACTGAGAACACCTTTACTTTTTTGTTGAATAATTTCTGGTTTTAACTTTGGCATAACTCAAATGCCCATTTTCAGTCTTTACTCAAAAATTCTAGTAGAGTGTTTAGAGCTTCAGTTGGAGACCGATGGTGGAGCTGTGCAAGTCCTGTATCGAAAGGATTTCCCTGTTGCTCTTTTCATTTTCTGTGCATTTCCCTAAAGTTATTCCTTGCAGTTATCCATTTGCTGGGATTGTCACATTGCTATAGCCAAGAATAACCCAAACTTGCAGAATTACTACAGATATTTCAAAATCCAGCATTGGGCCCAAGATGGGCAAACTACCTGGATCAAGTCAAGAAAGCCCTTCTGACCATTCAGTTAGCCATCAGTAATTCAATGCAGTGCTACGCAGTGCAAAACCAAAGGGGAAACTCAGACTGCAGTATCCAGAGAATTGGGGGTGAATCATCACCCAGCTCCGTGCACTCCATTACAGAGGCTCCTGTTTGCAATGTGTGGCAAAGCTCCTCCTGAGCATCCCCTCCCGGCACCATAGCAGGTCCCACACTGGTAGCTTTGAGAAGCCCCACTTATTTTTTTTTTCCATGCGCACACAGTTTTGTATTGGCTTGGTGAGAAGCTCATTAGCAGTGATGGTGTGATTTTTAACTCACTTTTGGGGATGCAGGGTGTATTCCCAGCAAGGATCATATGGCATTGGTGCAACCTCCCTGGAAATGTGTGGGTTTTCTCCTCTGGGTCAGCTGGTTTTGGATGTGGCTGTGTAGATGATCTTGGAGTCCCTTTGGTGGCGTTTCCACCCCTGCCGTCACCTCTGCTCTCCTCCCAGGCACAGGGAAAGCTAAAACCCTAATGCTTTGCATCCCTCTTAAGCTTTCTCTGTTTCACAGCAGAAGGAGGGATGTTGACGAACGTGGGCAGACCTGGCAGATCTGTGCCTAGGGCTGACAGAGCTGTGGTCAAGAATAGCTCCAAGCCAGAGAGGTCCTAGTCAGTCATACGGAAAGAGATTGCCCGTTGCCCCATTAGTAAACGGGCTTGTGCCTGGGCTAGTGCCTCTCCTGGCGCCTCATGGGGATTGACTGCCACCATGGGTTGCTGGGGCTGCAGAGCAGTACATGCTCCCTTTTGGTTTGGTCTGCTGCTTCTCTCTCCCAGTTGCTTTTCCTCTCTTCTTGCTACTGTTTACTCAAATTCGAAAGTCTACAAAAATCAGCAACACATCTCCTGCCCCGTGGGACTTGGTGTGCCTGCCCCACACAGCCCAGGGATGTGAGAGGCAACTCGGCTGAATGGCGGGTTTATTGAATGCTCTCCCTCGCTAATTTGTTATTAAGTTATCGTTAGTGTTTCATTAGAGCCCCAGTGGGCATGAGTTCATTAGTGTTTTACTGGCTAGAGGTGCACTTAGTTGCTTGGGAATTGTATACCAAAGAGCGTCTGGACTCGTTGGAGTGATTGCGCTAACGAGCTCTGGTTGGGGCAGGGTGTGCAATGGCTCTTTAAGCGCACAGCTCAAACTTGCAAAGGAGCTTGTCTCTTACCTCGGCATCAGGATAAAGGTCTGGATTTATGCAGGGGCTTAACAAATCTGGCCAGTCGGCCCTTCTGAGAATTTGACAACTTTGCTTCTATAGGTTCTCACTGGAGTTTTGCTGTAAGCCGTCAGCATGAGGGGACTTTGGCTTCGGTGTGGCAGAAGGCAAAACAGCTTTCCATGTGGCACTCCCCTCCGGCAGGATCGGACGAGCCCAGGCAGAACCCCTTGCCTGCAGCCAGGGGCTGTGGAAGCTTCTCCAAGGAGCCTTGCATTTATGCTATCCCCAGAACATGTGCAGGGGCTGGGTAGCATCTTTGCTGAAATGTCCTGGCCTGTCTTCATTGCTGTCCTGAGGCTGTTACTCACCCAAAAACCAGGCTAAAAATAATCTCTCAAACCCTGAGTTATTTTTCTGGACTGCTGTCTCTTCCAAGCCCACATTAACACTTGGGATGGCCCACAGTAGAAACTCCAGGGCTCCAGCAGCTCAGAAATGCAACTTGATGTTTACAATCCATGATTGTTAGCACCAATAAATCAGGCTGCAGCACCAGAAGGTGCCATGCAGGTGCTCTGGGTGCTGCGGAGAGCATTGCTCAGCCCGCAGCTCCTGGAAAAATCACATGCACAGCTTCAGGAAGTGCTGGGTTCATTACTCCAAAGTAGCCTGGCTGGAGCTCACCTTTCCAGGGCTAAATCAAGACATTTCTTTAGCATTAGGTGCCAGGTACACTGCTGTGATCTCGGTACTGATCTGGTTTCTTAGCAAAGCACAAAGAGAAGGCTCTTGGGTGCAGTTTCACCTCTGCTTGTAATGATTGGGAGGAGGAATGTGAGAGCTAGGACTTGGAAACTCACCCCGATGGGCTTTTTGGCTAGAAACTCTGGTGAGACTCGTCTCCATGAGGAATAAGCCCTGCAAGCAGCATATGGGTACATGCTGGGGATTTTGGGGCTGTCTGGGAACTTGAGCTCTGTTTTTTCTAGCCAGTCACCATGGCTTCAGCCCCGAAGCGGGTGGGCTTGCATGGCTTGCCTGGTCTGTACACTGGGGAGGGCAGAGCTGCATTCACCCCACTGTTTTCTGAGTCATCCCTATCCCCCGTTTCCATCGGCAACTTTAAAATGGCTTTGAGGGATTGTATTTTCAGGTTCTTTCATCATTTGATCTCAGGTCAGGGCCAGCAGCTTTTCCTGCCTGCTGGCTCTGGCTGCCAAAATGAATACATCATGCGGTGCTGGAAATGTCACACCAAGGCTTGGTGCAGACCAGAGGCAGGAATTTGCATCGGGTGCCTGGCCTGTGCTCCCTCTGCAGAGAGACTGGAGAAATAATGAGAGGATTAATTAAATTCCTCTTCCTCGGTTGTGTGAGGTGCAGGATGTGGGGCTTTGCTGCTGCTGGGTGGGTGCATAGGGTCTGGACTCTGGCTGTGCACAGCACCTTGCGTGTGGGACCAGCACACCAGGTACCTGATGTAGGGGCACCTGTGGCAAACTGGACTCCCCAAAACTCCCACAGCAGGAGGCTGCTCAGCCTAAATGGCTTTTCTAGGCTGTTCTCATGCCACCCTCTTCCCTGTTTGCAAGACTCTAAAGGCAAAAGCAGCTGGATTTTGGGAATCTTGTTCTCTCCCCAGGGCTGGACCAGAGCTCTGTGTTTAGTCACTGATCTTTGGAAGTTCCTGTTGGGTTTTTTTTTTCCTGTCCAGTGACTTCTAATCAAAGTGGGTAATTGCATTATCCCATCTCCCCTGGAGAGGCTCACAGAGTCCTCAACAATCATGTTCAGTTTTATACCAAGCCCCTAAAAAACCTCACTTGAAATGCCATTTCCCTTACCAGAGCTCAGCAATGGCCACAAGCTAGCGGGGCAAGCTTTGCCGGGCTGAGGAGCCCTGGGGACTGGCAGGGCTGAGGAGGTGGTGATCCCTCTCCAGGGAGATACAGCCCTTCAGAGGGGCAGAGTGAGTGCCTTTGAAACACAATTTAACATTCCCAGCAGCATCCAGGGCTGAGCAAAGTGTTATCCGCATCCAAGGGCTGAATTGTTTCAGTGTGCACTCCTCCGTATGCTGGACATGGGGACGCTGCCAGGCAAGAAGTCCCGCAGTCCTGCCTTAGCATGGATGCGCAGGCCGACATGGACAATGGTGCTCAGGAAAGGCATGCGGGGTCAGAAAAACCTTTCCTTGTCCCTCTCGCCCCTTCCCATCAGAGCCTGTTCAGCCTTCCCTGGTGCTTTTTTTCCCTTCAGCTTTCCTGGTGCAAGAAGGCTAATTCAGGTGTTTTCTTCCATCCCCTGCAGTATGAGTTTAAAGCCAAGAATATCAAGAAGAAGAAAGTGAGTCTCATTGTGTCAGTGGACGGCGTGAAGGTCATTCTGAAGAAGAAGAAGAAGGTAGGCAGCCCCAGTCCCTGCAGCAGTGGGAGCCCTTCCCTCGTGGTGCAGGGGCCTGCAGCATCCTTGAATTGCTGGGAAACTCGGGTGAGCTGGGAGAGGGAGGGGCTCAGCAAAGGGCTGCAGGGGAGCAGCAGCAGAGCTGGTACAAGAGCTTCCAGGGTCTGTCTCTTGACTGTCTCTGCCTTGTCCTTGATCTCAAGGGCAGCATCTGACGTACTCATTTTCAGTTTCTTTCATTGCAGAAAAAAGAATGGGCCTGGGATGAGAACAAAATGCTTGTCATGCACGATCCCATCTACAGGTAAGCCTGCCCGGTGAGAGGACAGAGGTTTGGGTGGCTCTGCTGTGCCGTTTACCCCCACCCCCGCGCTGCACCAGCACCATGCTGGGGGCTGACCATGGAGAGTCATCTCTATCTCCATGGAGGGCAGCTCCTCTTGCTTGCCATGCCCTCCAAAAATCCCCAGCTCTCTTCCTCCATCTCATTGGCAAAAGCTAAGAGTATGTAGTGTCTGTGTCCTGAGGAAGCCAAACGAGAGCTAGAAATGGCCCCAGCTGTGCCAGACACGGGGCAGCAGGCACCTGAGCAAGGAGGCTCCTGGACTGCCAGCTCTGTCCCTGGAGGCTGAGCAGAAAAAGCCCCATGCTGTCTTCACAAAATAACGAGTCAGCAGGCTAATTTTCCCAGCTGAGGCAAAACCAGTGCCAAAAAAAATTCTGATGGGCTCTAGCAGAGATGTGCTGCAGAGGCTGGGCATCTGCCAGCACCCTGTGGCCTGGGAAGCACTGGCTGTGGCCTTGGCAGTCTCCTGGGCATGTGGGTAATACATATGTTGATATTCTCCCCTCCTTTCTGTCCTTGCAGGATATTCTATGTGTCACATGACTCCCAGGACCTGAAGATCTTCAGCTACATTGCCAGGGATGGGTCTAGCAATGTTTTCAGGTGCAATGTCTTCAAATCCAAGAAGAAGGTAAAGTTGGGATGCTCATCCCACCATCAGGGGTCTCAGTGAGGCGGCTGGGGCAGGACCCCGTGGTGCTGCAGTGCAGCAGGCAGCCCCCAGCACTGCGGTGAGCTGAGCTCCGGTGCCTGCGGCAGTGCAGAGCCCCCCGAGAGCTTTGCCAGGCTGAGGAGGGCACCAGGCAGGGGCAGCAGAGGTCACATTCATCCTCTCCTTGCCCGCTGCAGAGCCAAGCCATGCGCATCGTCCGGACCGTGGGGCAGGCGTTTGAGGTCTGCCACAAGCTGAGCCTGCAGCACACCCAGCAGAACGCAGATGGGCAGGAGGACGGAGACAGCGAGAGAAACGAGGACGACCTGGACGTCCCAGGTACTCGGAGACAGGGGTGGCGTGGGGGTCCTGCGGCCTGGCAGATGCAGTCTGCAGAGTCACCATCTTCCCACACCACTCCTTGCTGGCTGACACCTGCGGGGAATGGATTTGCACAGCAATCTGGCCTGTGGCGCCTCAGACTCAAGCTGGGATCTTGCCTAGCAAGGAGCCTTCGCTAGGTGTTAGCCATCATCCTCGCAGACATCCCCCTTGCTGGGAGCCCATTAGCAGCGCCTGGTGCTCTGCTGGGCGCCTAAATGCTCTCCGTGCTCGGCTGCGCACACCACAAACATTTCCTTGCTGCTTTCCCAGAAGTGCCGTAAGCACAGACCTTGCCTGCGTCCAGAGGCGCTCGTGGGCTGGGTCCGGCTCTCTGCCATGGACCCAGCTTGTAGTCCATTGCCACTTCTGCAATTTCCTGTGCATACAAAGCTGTGCTCAGGATCTTGCATCAAGTTCCCAGGGCTGGAGGCAGCCTTCTCAGCCCTATGGGCAGAGGGTGCAGGATGCTCCTGACCTCTGGTTGCCAGTCCACCCCATCACTCTAAGGAGCTGCTGTGCTCCATGGTGCCAGCAGCTGCGCTGGAGGGGAGACAGATGTTTTGTAAGAGATTGGTCAAACACCTCTAGTGCCTGTCGGGATGCTGGCGGATTCTGCTGCCTGCCCTGCAGCCCCACTGGGTGCTAGATCCCCGGCATCCCACCCAGAGCAGCCTGGGCTGTGCTGTGGTTTCCTGCCTGCTCTGCAACCGGCGCTGTCGTGATGACCTAATCATTGGGCTATCCTGGACCTGTCATTGTTTGTTTTTCCTTCACACAATGTCCTGGCCACAATATGCAGTTCCCTGGGGATTTCTCAGCATCCAGGTTTTTTTTGCCCATAATCTCTTGTTTACCTTTCTTCAGCTTTCTCTGTGTCTTCTGCTCTTGATGGCCCATTTCTCCCACATCAGGGGTTTTGCTCCTGTTCCCCAGGTTTGGTGTGCTGGGGCTGGGTGTGTTTTTGACCACAAGCCGGCTGACAGTGGGAAGTGCTGCTGAGTCTCTCTGTACCTGAGTCCCCCCTGGAGCTGGAGGGTGGGTGGCCCTGGGGTGGTGGGGACCAGTGGGCATCACTCGCTCTACTGTGGGTGCATCGTAGCAAGCTCCCGCTCCAATCAGACTGTGCTCTGCTCTGACGCCGCTCCCCACAGCCTGCCGCCTCACTGGTGCTGAGAGGGCAGCCGCTTCGGCAGAGGAGACAGACATTGACGCCGTGGAGCTACCTCTGCCTGGAGCCGACATCCTCGACTTCAGCCGCGGTGTGACCGACCTCGACGCCGTGGGCAAGGAAGCAAGCGCCTACGCCGATGCCAAGGTGCGTGGGTCCCTGCCCTCTTCTACACTCAGCCCTGGCCCCGAAGCTCTGATGTGCATCGTGGGGGCCCAGGGATCAGGAGGGATTGTGCAGCATTCCCCAGCTCCTGGATCAAAGCCATCTGCCGCTGCAGGGCTGCCCTTTGTCTCGGGGCCCGGGGTGCCTCTGGAGAGCGTCATGCTGAGGCTCAGCTATGTGCAGCCACACGGAAAGTGTCTGGGGCAGAGCTGATAAGGATTTTTTTCCACCAGAAAAAAAAACAAACAAACCTTTTTGATATAGTAGAAATTCCTATGGGAAGCATCAGCCTTTTTGGGAATTTTCTACAAAAGTATTTGGACTTTTGTCAAAACTGGAAAAATACTGTCTTCAAAGTTTTTCAGCACCTCCAGCAAAGTGTGTGTTTGCTCTGAATGCAGCAGCTTCTTTCCTGGGTATTTTGGGGGGCTGCTGTGTGCTGCAGCCCTTGTGTGCATGGTGGCTCTCTCATGTCGAGGGTCACAAGACCACACGTTTGATGCCAGTGTTTTGCAGGGCTGCCTGCACCCTGAAGACATCCTGACAGCATCACCCAAGATGCTGCTGCCCTCGTCTGCGCAGCTGCCTGACCTGGGAACACCCCTCTCTGCCCACCACCAGATGCAGCTTCTCCAGCAGCTCCTGCAGCAGCAGCAGCAGCAGACGCAAGTGGCCGTGGCACAGGTTGTCCCCTCCGCTCTTTCCTGGGGGTGGTGGCAGGGCTGGGCTGCGCTACTGAGCCCCTCAGTGCCAAGGCATCCCTTGCCTTGAGCGAGGCAGGCATGGGTGGGACCCAACCTGAGCTGGGGTGTATGTACCCTGACACCAGGGTGTGGGAGTGGGCCGGGCAGAGTCCCCTGTTTTCTATGGCACAGCCTGCTCTGTCACGCTTTCCCAGTGTGGCTCATTGTGCCCCTGCTCCCAGCGATGGCTCCATGGAGCCCAGTTGGAATAGTGTTAGGTGTGTGTACCACCAGCCTTCTTGGACCCCATATTCTTGCAAATGCCTGACCTCAGCGTTAGCCTCTGCAGACTCGTTCTCCACGCAGATATTTCTCATTTCAGCAGCTCTCGCCACTTCATCCAACTCATTACCTTAGCTTTACTTGTTCCCTGACCCCTTGCAGAGCTCTCTTCAATTGCTTGACTTTCTTCCTGGCCTGAGCGATGGGCTCCAGCAGCCTTTCTGTGCTTTCCCACGACTTTCTTCTTCTCACATCAGAAAATCAGCATTGGTCTTTCTGGCCAAGCTGCTGCTCCAAGACCCTCCTGCTTTCTGGGGTCACAGACTTGGAAAGTTGCTATTGCCTCTGGAAGAAGGACCTGCATCTTCAGGGGATCCTTTGTGTCTGCTCAAGTACAGTGTCTCTACAGACAAAGTTTGCCAGGCAAAGCTGTGTCCCTCTGTGGCAGGGACTGCTCATTTCCAGTAGTTTCCAGTCTTTGTGTACCTGCAGAGTCTTGCAGTGGCAATTTCTTTTTCTTTTTCTTCCTACTTCCAGATAAAAAAAAATCTGGAATAGTGTAATGCCATTTCTCTGACTGGCTCCTGGGATGGCAGCCAGTGGCCTCATCCCCCCGTGTCCAAGGGCTGATGCCCTGCTCTGGACCTCTGCCCACCCCAGGATAGTTCTTGTCTCAGGGGCTGTCACTTGGCTGCTCTCTAATCCCTTCAGTGCATGCTGTGGTGATTTTGTATCATTGTAATTTATTAATGAAAAAGTTGGGCCCTATCATGTCAAATGCGTTTCAGATGACTGCATGCATTACATCAACACCTCTGTCAATGGCGCTTGTTATCTTCTCTCAAAAACCATCGAGTCGGTTTGTCTCTGAACATGTGGTGATGGGCTCAAGCTTAATTCTTTACTAATGAAGCCAGGAGACCCACTGTGGCATCCAGGATCTGTGCTGGGTTTATGGCCACTGGGACCATGCTGTAATTATCTCAGGCTGTAATTACTTGGCTGAGGGTGAAACACCATTTCGTTCCCTCATTGACCAGAGACTTGCTTTTGCAAGGTGTTTCCAAATACCCATGGAAGTTCCTTCTCTTGAATTAAGGTCCTGAGTCCTTTCTGGGTCTTGTCCCCAGGTGGCTGGTGGAACAAGCCACTGCCTCTCTGTAAGACGTGACATTTTGGCTCTGCATTTGACTCTCTTGCCTGGCTTTTTGTTGTTTTGGTTTCCTTTTTTTTGTAGGGTATTTTGCATTAAATCCACACTTTTCAGGTTCCCCACAAGCCTGGCTGGCTCAGTCCTCACTGGAGAGAGGAGCACTTGTAGGAGCCACGAATGGATGGCAGGAGGGGATGCCGAGCCTGTGTGGCTCCCGGGTGGCTCTGCTCTGCCATCCCCTTGTCCGAAGTGCACTCCTGGGGCTCTCCTTACTCGAGCTCAGAGCAGGAGCTGCCCCTAGGCAAGGATTCCCGGTTGATCTTGTCCAGCAGCATCCCACCCACCCTGGGTTGTGCTGCTGGTCATAGAAGGGCTTATGTATAGGTCGTTACACCAAAATCAATGGACTTCTTGCCCCAGACTCCCACCAGCTAACATCCAAGCATTGCTTCCCAGGGCTGCAGTGAGCAGCCAGCTCATGTCCCCAGAGCCACCGTGCCTCAGCAGTACTCTGCCATCTGTCCTGCTCCAGGTGTGCTGTGCCTGTCAAAGCTGTAGCTGGCTGCAGCTCCAGGACAGCTCTGGTGCTCCAGCCCCTCTAACGACAGATACTGCTGGCAGGACCCTGCCTTGTGCACTATGCTGTCTCCAGAAAGCTTGCCCAGAAAGACAGCTTGACCAGGGCCGGCTCGCAGCACACGGCTGCACCTCATGCCCCAGCAGCACTGTCCAGTCGGTCGAGCATGTCTTCTCTTCCACATCCATCTGGCTTCCTCCTGGGCTGCCCATTCCTCAGTGCGTTCATGGCACGCATGCATAATCAACGGTTCAGTCAGTGCTGCATCCCTTTGCCTTGGGCTTTTCCATCAGAGAGGCCAGGGGACCATGCGCTGGATTTGCTGAGTGTGCAACACTGCTGTCTACCCCCACTTTTCCCATCACATCCGTGTGTACCTACAGGGAATGGCTTCTCCATCCGGTCATTTGGTGGGATGCTGGTGGGCCCTGGTAGAGGAGCAGGGGTGGCCAGCGTTGAAGCTCTCAGCCCTGGAGCAGCATCTCTCATGTGCTGACACACTCTCTTGTCACACAGGTCCACTTGCTGAAGGACCAGCTGGCCGCAGAGGCAGCGGCACGGCTGGAAGCCCAAGCTCGTGTGCACCAGCTCCTGCTCCAGAACAAGGACTTGCTGCAGCACATCTCGCTCCTGGTCAAACAGGTGCAGGAGCTGGAGCTGAAGTTGGTGGGGAACAACACCAGTAAGTGCTCCTGCCCCTTCTCCCCTCGCAGCTAGCTGGGTCTGTGGATGATGTGCATGTGGGTGTTTCTCTTGGGGTTTTTGTGCATTTCCAGTGGTTTTGTGTAGGGGAATATTAGTGCCTTTCTGGCCTGGCTTGTGTGTGCATGCAGCGTGAGAAGGGGCATGGGGAGGGCTGTATGGACAGTCAGTCACATACATATATATCCATCAGCTGTATGTCTGCTTTCCCCAGTGGCTGCATGGTCTAGGCCAACTCCTCACCTGCCCAAGAGGCCCTCCTTCACCTTCTCTCCAGCAGACGTGGCCATCACCTCCCTGCAGGAGATGGGGTGGGAGACAGATAGATTTTTATCCTGCAAAACTGGCGCTTTGCTGACTAGCAGCAGCTCCTGGCACCAGTGGCACCAAGTGACTCCCTCTAAATGGTGATGGTGGGAAGGTTGATGCCAAAATGGCCCCAGACCATGCTCCTCTGGCCAGTCTGCAGCCAGCTGTGGTGGCCAAGGATGGCCTGGGTGAGCCAGAGTGGCACTGCCTGCCTCTCAGCCGTGCCCTTCTCTTGCAGCGGGCTCCCAGGACAGTCTGCTGGAGATCACCTTCCGCTCCAATGCCCTCCCTGTCCTCTGCGACCCGACCACCCCGCAGCCTGAGGACACCCACCCGCCACCGATGGGCCCTGGCTCAGGCTTCCCCAGTGCCCTGGGCAGCCCCATAGGTAGGAACGACTGTCTGGTGAAGCTGGAGTGCTACCGCTTTCTGCCGGACTCAGGGGCACCTGCCCCGGAGCCGGCGCTGGGCAGTCTGGAGCTCATCAAGTTCCGTGAGTCGGGCATCGCCTCTGAGTACGAGTCCAACACAGACGAGAGTGAGGAGCGTGATTCCTGGTCCCAGGAGGAACCACTGCGCCTGCTCCACGTCCAGTCCAGGCAGGACCTGGGTGACAGCCTGGAGGACGAGATCGCAGTGTAGGGGTCGGCAGGAGGTGGTGTGGAGCAGCTGGAACCTGCCAGAGCTGAGGCAGGCCCTGGCTGTAGCCCCCTGGCCCTGGCAGGGATCAGACAGCCCAGAGGGAGAAGGAGTGGAGGGGGTAGCCACAGGCTTACAGCACACGATCAGGAGGAGCATGCATGGGCTTGTGTGCTGAGCTGGAGCATCCCCGCTTCGCATGGGACAGCGAGCTGACAGCTGCTTGTGCTCCCTCCTGGTCCCCATCCCCCTGCAAGCTTGTGTTTCGAGGTCATGCAGAAGCAAGGGACTCCCTGCCGGATTAGCCACTGCTGCTGGTGGGGAAGCAGTGAAGCAGATGAAGGTTTTTGCTGGGGGAATGAGAGAGCTGGCACGGGTCAGTGAGCGGGGACAAGAGGGACTGAGGAGCCACTGCGAGGCAGTGAGTGGGAACAGAGCTGCTGGCAGGGGGTCTGGCTCTCTGCGTGGTGGAGAGGGTGGAAGATGAGGCTGTGCTGACGGGATGGTTGGGGTCGGTGGTGATGCACTGTCAGCGTGGGTGTGCGAGTGGGAGATAAGGCAGTGAGGGACAGTAGGGACGAGCCTGGGAAGGAGCTGAAGAGGTGAGACGAGGTGGTACAGCATGGCTAGGTGCAGGCGGCTCTTGGCAGGGTGATGGTGTTTGTGGCACTTCCAGGACAAGGTTTGTACCTGCCTGAGGCCAGTGAAGGGCATGCGGGCACTGCCTGCTCCTCTCTGGGCTGCGGTGTGGAGAGAAAGACACAGCTCAGCATGGAACAGGGAGCCAGGGCACACAGCATGGGGACATGGAGTGTCCTTCACCTCATTGTCCAGTCCTTGGGCTCCTGGTCATGACTGCCAGGCTTCAAAGCCTTTCTGGTGCTCTCAAATCACGTTTCCAAGCACTTCCCTGCACTTCCCATCACCACAACTCCCTGCTTTGTTTTATAGACAAACCTTCCTATTTCCAAGCAGGGGCTTGCCCCTAGACCAGGGCTGGGAGATGCAGTGCTGGCATCGGCTGTGTGCAGTGCCACGCTTGCCACTCCTTGATGGGGAGCGAACTGGTGGTGTCTGCCGGTGGGCTCCTTCACGTTTCTGATTTGCACCCTCCAGAAAAGTGAATCCAGGATCTCGGGATTCCCCACCAGATGCAGAGATGCTCAAGGCTGAGCCATCTGTGGAGGCTTCCATGGATTCCAGAGCCTGCATTTTCTTGCAAGCCTTTTTATCTTGCAAGCCTGTTGCTGCAGCCTCTAAGAGGTCACAGCTGAAGGGGTATGAGCCAGAGGCCTGATGTCCCCATGCTGCTTGTGGAAACACTTGATGAGATGGGGATTGGCACAGTTGTCTTCCTCCTCATCCACCCTCCTATCCTGCTTCTGCTTTGCTTTGTTGCTTTCCTCTGCTCTCACCCTCACCAGCTCTGTCTCTGCTAGATTTGCCTGCAACTAACCGCTGGCTGAGCATCTCCCATCGTGAGCTCTTGCTCTCTTCCAGGTCTTAGCCCTGCTGCTGAGGAAGGTCCACCTCTTCTTTCTGCCTTGGTCCCCTTGGGACTGAGAGCTGCTGAGGAGTGAGGTGTGGGTGAGACCCCCAGGGTCATTATCAGTTGTTCCTCCACCACAGGAGGAGGCTGGATTCTGTGAGAAGCTAGAGAGTCTTAGTGAGAAAAAAGGCCATTTTTCAGTGTCCCCAGCCTGGTGTCCGGGGTAGCTCCCAGACTGACCACAAATGGGAGCGGGTGCTGGTTGCTGGATGTCCCAGGTGCTCCTGTCCTCTGGCCACCAGTACCTCTGTATGCCCTGTCCCATGCTGCTGTGTGCCAGCCCCTCTACTGGGGACCCCAACATCCCACTGCCACCTTGCAGTGGTTGGAAGTTAAAGTATGGGGTGGGAGGTTGTTCCCACCAGGAGGGAAAAGTGAGGATGGCAGCACACACAGGACGTTGTGCAGGCAGGGTGAGGATGCATGAGTGAGCTTGAAGAGGGATTTCCACATGGGCAGACAGGTCAAGCTGTTGGGAGTAGCCATGGGCTTGGGCTCCTGCCCAGCACTCTACCCAGTGGGGATGGTAGGGTGCCCTGCAGGCTGAGGGGGTACTGCCGGAGCCAGGTGGGACCCTGCCAGCATCTTGCTGCACCACGGGTGTACATGTGTAAGTGATCCTCCTCCAAAGTCAGCGCTGCCTCCAAGACACCTCTCTAGCCTCTCACTTTTGTTATGGACCTTGACAGGGGATTTATAGCTATATTTTTTGTCCTTCCTTTTCCTACAACTGTCGTGTTACTAACTGTTGACTCAATCTATCTGGGAAACCAGTCTGTCAATGTAAGTGCACTTAACCCTTGGGTGTTGTCATTACTCAACTGGCTTTTGCTAAATAAATCTTTCTATTTCTCAAGGCTTTCTGTTGTCTCTTCCTTCTCCCTGACTCTCTCTCTCTGCACTTTTCTCCCCCTCCATGCTGGGAGCCAGCACTGCTGATGGCATCCCTTGGCCTTGCACAGAACCCATCCAACCTCAGCATCCTCCCCTGTGGGACCCTGGCTTCCAGTGCCAGCCATGGGCCGCCCATGAGAGTGTGGTGCCCCGAATGTTGCTGGGAGTAGAGGGGTTTCTGCCTTCCCCTTCAGCCCTTGCACAGCACAGGCTCGTGTCAGGGCTGACCTGACAGTTCAAGGGTGCTGGGGAGGGGGGCGGCATCTGCAGAGCTCCCCACGGAGATGCAGAGGTGCTAAGCAGCACTTTCAAGGGCTTGGGAAATTTTTGGCTGCTAGGGAATGAAAAATCAGAAAGAGCCTTTATCAAAGGATGGCGGAAGTGTTGTGTAGGCAAGAGCACCAGGCAGACTGCTCCTAAAACAATTTATTCTGGCGGAGGCAGGAGCAATGGAGCAGTGCCCTCCCGCGGCGGCTGTCCAACTGACGGGACTACACGGGAACCCTGGGGGCTGCAGCCTTCTGCTCCTTGTGCTCCTTCTGCCACAGGGCCTTGAGCCTGCGGTAGAACACCTTGCAGCTGTAGCCCTCCTGGGAGCTCTTCTGGATGTGAGTCTTGATGGACCACAGTGTGGGGAAGACGTGGCAGCATGACACGCACTTGTAGCCGCCCTGCAGCACTGGCTCCCACTGGGAAGCTGTGAGGATGTCCTGTATAGTGATGTTGACTCTTCTGCTGGCCAGCCTGTCCGTCCCGAGGGGCTTTAGCTCATCTGAGGAGCCAGAGGAAGAGCAGACGATCTCCAAGTGGTCATTGGGCTCCTTGGACTCCTGAGCACTGGTGGACAGGCTGGAGAGGCTGCCTGGGGGCTGCTGGGTGGTTCCTTTGGTGCACATGAAGTAACTGTAGGGTGAGAACCAGGGCCTGTAGATGGTGCAGGTGGGGGCAGGCAGCTCACTGACCGGTGGGGCTGTGGGGCCATGGGCTGCGGAGAAAAGGATCTGCAGTGAGTCAGGGGTCCCTGCAAGAGCCTGGCCCCACCCACGGTTGGGACTGGTGCTGAGGACCCTTCCTGTCTGTCTCCAGGGATACTGAGGTGGCTGGCTCTGTCTCAATACATCTCCCTGGCATGGAGGGCACCATCCCTACCTCCACAGGATGCAGGGACAGAGAGATGGGCACAGGATGCTGGCAGGCACCGAGGCACCAGCACAGCATAAGGCTCACCCATCAGCCTGCTGCACCTGTCCCACGAAGAGCTGCACTGGCACGAGGGTGTTGATGGGGGGGCCAAGCTGGCACTCACAGCCTCAGCACCCACAGGTTTGTGAATTCCTAAAAAAACACAGGGGAGAAACCAGTGTAGCTCAGAGGTGGGTTATGACTGCAGAACCACCCCAGGTTCCCAGAAAGCACCCACTGCCACAGACCCTCCCCACAGGCAGTGATGGCTGCCTGCCTCCCCTGCCTGGCTGCAGCTGGTGGGTGCCAGGCTCACCAGGAAGGGTGGAAGGGCAGCAGGGACATGGGGCCCCCAGGCTTCTTGTCCTGGTGCCGCAGGGCATGGCCCTGGTGGACACAATGGGCAGAACAAAGCTCTCCATCTCCCTTGTGTAGCTGGCATGTGGCTCCTGCGCCACAGTACCCATGCTGTCAGCTGGCATCACAAAGACCTGATGTCCCATGTGTGGACAGTGCAGGATCCTCCTGGGCAATGTGCTCAGCCCTTGGGATCTCTGGGAAGCTTGACCAGTGTGAAAATGACAGCCAGGCTGGGCTGAAGAGGCAGCCTTGGTGGGGTGGGCAGTGCAGAGCCCAGGCTGTGGGTGCCCCAGAGGACCTCCTGCTGCTTCACGGGTGCCTGACTGATAAGGGCTTCACATGAGTCCCATCTCTGCAGGCAGCGTGGCAGGTCCAGGCAGGGGGTCGGCAACAAACCTCACATGGCAGTGCGGAAAGGACAAGCTGTCCCCTTGCCGTTCTCTTGGAAAATCCTCTCTCTCTTTCTCTTTCTTTCCACAACCTGCTTCCCCAGTCGCTCGGTATCAGGTAAGAGACACTCTAGGTGCGTTGGCAGCGTGGAGCCCTGGACTCACTGCTACCCCATCTTGCCCCGTGCTGTCCCCACTGCACGCACTGCCCTGTGCAGCCCTGGCATGGCACAGCTGCCCACAGCCTCTGTAGAGCTTCCAGAGCAGCCTCCCTGTCCCCCAAATTGTGTTCCCGTGCTGCTGGGTTGGGAGCTGCTGGGCAGCTCTGGGACATGCCATCCCTGCTGGGGTCCTCCTTCTACCCCAGCTCACCCCCCTTCTCTGTTCCCTTTCCCCCTCCAGTGGACCAGAGCATGTTTGAGAACACCAGCGCCGGCACAGCACCTACCCCACGGCC